TTAATAATAGTATTAACCTCTTAACACAAAATAAGGGGTTTTTGATCATTTTACATTAAATGCATCTATATATAGGTACAAAAACACCAAACGAACATATTTGTTTCTAGATACAATTTCTGGATGCATAAAACAAAAACACAAACAAACATCATTTGCATGCTGCGTCTAGATACTGCGTAGATACTGCGTCTCAATGCTCCATTTAGATATTGCATGCAGCCACGCAAATGAACATCACCTAATTCAAATTTAACCTGGTTTCAAAATGTAGACTAAAATGTTTGAAATTTTCAAATTTATCCATATTGATTTATTTTCAACTTTCAAAGTTGACTCCAAATTGGTTCAATATTTTCGTAGAACCATATCTTTTTTTTTTCATTGGAAGATTGAATATATTAATAAGAAGAAACAAAGAGGGTTACATGGTGTGAATAACAAGACCAAAGAGAACCTAAATAAATAAACACAAGAGAAAGCAATGATCAAACCATAACCTACAAAAAGATGAGGATGATTTTACAATGACACATTGATAATATCATAAGCTTTGATACGAGTTTCACATGACCATCAAAAAGAATTTCCGCACAACAAGAAGAAGATATGAAGACGGGTTGTGACTCATTTGGCGATAACTCGAACACGAAGCCTAATAATCTCTGAAAATGATGAATCTCTTTCTAAGAATTGCTTTCATCAAGATGACCATGGAGAGAAACCGATAACAGCAATAACCTTTCAAATGCCACACCAAAGTAACCAACTTAGCTATGCTTAAACCGCACCCAAACGAAGACCAAAAGCCCTATCAACAAACTAAGAACAAAGGATAGAGCTGTGATAGAGAAGCCTAGCCCCAACGAGAGAACCGAAGCCCAAAAGAGGGGAGCTGTAATCCCAAAAACTGCAAAACACCAATTGAAAGAAAGGGATCTAGAACTAAGGATAAAGCGATCAACGAGAAGAGAAAGTGGTTCTATAACCTTCAAAACCAGGGATCGACAAGGAGAGACACGGCAATCCTTTCCCCCACTACAAATCAGAGACAAACCCGCTGGGAACCAACCAAGAAAAATAGATCTAAAAGCGAAATAGTCTAATCGAGCTTCGTCCAAACCCTAAGATCTAAAGATCTCAGATCTTAAAAATTATTCGCCGACAGAACCACAGACTTGAAAAGAGCCCAAAGGCTTGGGATTGAGACACATCACAACCACCGATCTGACGAGATCAACCATCCAAAGCTATAGTTCCCTTCATCGTCTCATCCCAGAACAACAGATGAGACACCCCTCAACGACGAATCGAAATCAGTCATGGCGAAGAGAGGATAAAGACCGGAAATTAAAAACAGAGGAAAGGGCACGACGCCGGAAAAGGGCTCCGACGCCGGCCAAACTTAGCCAAAAAAACTCCGTCTTTACCGCCTGTCTTTTAGAGAGAGAAAGTGACTTTTTGGGTATGCCTTTCCCTTTTTAAATGGGTTTTTCGTAGAACCATATCCATTCAACTGCTTATTTTATTGTTCGCTAGATCACATATATATTGACTTTACAAACCAATACCGGTCAAACGTC